AGGGTTGATTGTAGCCATGCAGAAAATAGCTTTTGTCATGGTTGTCATACACATCACTTCCTCATGCACATCTAATGACATCCAATGCAAATATATAATGTGCACAATATAAACTAGTATTTTCTCCAGCTAACCATCCCAAAGTTTGTATTCCAGAGGATCAGCCATTTTGATCAAGTTTTGTTTCAACTGGTATAAGCTGCAAATTACAGAGCAGTGCGCTGTAGCTGAGTAAACAAGCTGTGAGAGTCTAGCTGTGACAGCAGAAGCCTCAGCCCACATGCAATGCCTTGTGGTTGAGTATATTAACCTGCAGGCAAGTGCCTGTCTCCTGGGCTCAGTTGTTCCTGGGGTGAAGGTAGGTTGGGTGCTCCTTGCCATATGCCAAGTCTCTCTTGGCTGGTTCCAAAGCTGTCACCAGCTTTGAGTTAAGTGAGGTTTGGACGGGTGGTTATACTGGTGGATGAGAAGCTGCTGACAACAGGATGAAGTGTGGCAAAGCAGCATGTTTGGCACACATTGCAGGCTTCCAGGCACCACGGAGGGAGGATAAGATGGATACTGGCTCAGCAAAGCTAATGCTAAAGTTGGTAATTGTGGAGCTAGTGGCTGTTTCTCTGTATTCTCGAAATCCTCGGGTCAGAAGCCTGCTACTCATGGATGATGCGCTGCTTAATTCTAAGTAAAACAATTATATAAGAGAGAATATTACAACTCTTGTACTGTGTTATTTAAAAGGCCAGATTAGAGTCCCTGCTTCTTTTAAACCTTCAAGCTGAGGAACCTATGACACTGAATCCAAGGAAGGACTGGAGGACATCCTGCTGTGCACTGTTCCACCTGCTGCACTCACTCTGTTCCAGTTGCTGTGGAGCAGTGGGAAGCCTTAGTGACAGAAGGCTTGGTGCAGGTGTTACCATGTCATGAGATGAACTTTAGGGTTAATGTCCCAGTCATTCTGGTGCTGACACCTATAGACAGTGAGGAAAGAAGTACACAGGGGTATGTTTTTGCCATAAGTATTGCCTACGGTTTGGTGACAGATGGACTTAGGCTCCAAAGCTCATGGGAAATGAGCAATGTCTCAGAAGGACTCTGTAGGGCAAGAAGGAAGAGATAGCAAAGCTGAGCAAGCCGTGGGGCATTTCCATGGAATATGTTCGATATTTGAATGTAGGCTGGGCAGAAATAGTTTCGTAGACCATATAGCTAAATTCCTCCATACGATTATGATGGTGAGAAGTTGTGTGGAAATCTGGTGGTGGAAGGAGATAAAAAGAAATTGGAAAGTAATTTGAGAAAACTGTTTACTAGAAGAGTGTTAAAAGGGTAGAGAAACCCAAACCAACATGTCCAGGAAACCTAAGTTAGCAAATGGATTATGAGCTGACCTTGTTCAAGAAGCTAGAACTGTGTAGTTTAGCAAAGGACAGAGACAGGTCTCTGTTTCCTGATAAGAGCAAGGAGTACTGAATTTGTTATCTTACCAGATGTTTTGCTTTCTAAAAGATGGGATAAGTAATGAGTTTTTTAGATGCTTTTGGGGTCTTAATAAAAGAAGCAACATTTTGGTTTGGTCAGAGAGGGAAAGTAACATTCTAAATGAGGACTGTAACATAGCAGCTGTGTTACCGTGGAAACACTGTGAACCTTCATCATGCAGGTTGCATTAATAAATAGGTAATTAAGAATATTTGTAACAAAGCATACATCATGTAGCATTGCATTAGACTAGGGCAATGTGTATTACCCTGAACTCTGGCTATACTGGGACAAACCATTAGCTGGTAAATAGACGTTCAGTCATTTTAAAGAACATTAATAACTTAAAACAAATTATGTTAGGAGATCACTCATATCAAGATTGCTATGTTGTCCAGCTCTGCTAGGCTGCAGTATGCACAAACTAGGGAGGGAAAGGGGATGAGAAGAATGACACATTCCTTCCACAAGTAGGTCTTTAGAGAAAGATTAAAAACAGGGCAGGGATTAATTAATGAATGAAGTAAAAACAGTCTTTGAGGAGTCAGAAGTTCAGAGCCTTCCTGAACTTCAAATACACCCAAAATACTTTGGTCAACTTCGTTTAAAGGTTCTTCAAGAGCAATTACTTTTTAAATCCTTCTAGATATCTAGGATCCAAAACCCTCTCCATAAGAATGAGTTTCAGGAGTGCAAATCATGTGAGAATTTAGTTTCTTGTGCTTGTTTTAAACCAGTTGCCCCATAGTTCTTGTTTCATGAGAAACAGTGAAGAATATCTCCTATTCACCTGAATATCATTTTATACATTGGTTGTTTCTTTTTCAACTGAAAACCCTGCTCAATGAGTTCTCTTCATACAAAAACTAGGATTTACACTTTTTCTACTCTGTCCTTTTTGAAGGAATATTATAAATGCAAGGTTGTATAGATACTGGCTGTACCATGGATTTATATAGCAGCAAGCTGTTATTTCTGTTTTTCCTAATGAGTTTATCACAGCTGTTTTTTTGATAACCCTTGAACACTGACTGAGATGGAGTTTTCAGAGGACTATATAAAATGTCTCCAAGATCTCTTGCCTGAGAGGCTATAGCTAATTTATAGATCATCATGCCTGCATAGTAAAAGCTATTTTCTCCCCATGTGCTTTACTTTGGTTTTTAGCAAGATTAAATTTCAGGTGCCATTTTATCAGTGATTTAGTCACTACTGTGATATCCTTCTGCTATTTTCTCACATTTGATTCTAGTTTTAACTATAAGCAAATGGAAAGATTCTGATTAAAGAAGGTACTGAACAACACAGAACCCAACTCATAGTGGTTTCACTGTATTTGAGAACTGTCCATTTATTCCTGTGCTTCATTTCCCATCTATTAACCAGTTTATAACCTACAAGAGGACTTTTTATGTTACCACATCACAGCAATCTTCTAGCAGCAATGAAGCATGTTTTATCATTTGCAAAATTCTCTGGGGGCACAATATACTTATAGCCTGTTACACCTTTTATTTCAGAAACTTCCTGATAAGTGGACCACTGTTACTTGAGTTTTATTGTACAGAGATGTATGGAGAGGTTTCTCTATTCTTGTGTAAGGTCACTTCTTTTCCTAACAAATTCTGGAAGAATTATCTTCCAGTGAGTTCTGTGGAAGGCAGAAAATATTACATTCATTACCTATAACATAGAACATATACATGTAATGTGTTGAAGTGGCTGATGTGGTGACACAGTTCATTAAAAAATATTGTTTCACAATTTTGGCCTGTCATTGTAATGTTATGAAGAAAAATGGAGGGGTCTCATCTCCACCAAGTAGGATCTGAGCTTCCCAAAGGAGCATTCCTTGTTCATTCAAATGTTTCCTGAAAACTGTGGTCATCAAAAGTAGAGTTGAGCCTAAGAATGGGGATTTTCAGGTTGTGGTAAAGGAATTTCTTTCCATAGTAAACAATGATTTGGGAATTTTACATGAGCATCTCAAATAACAGATGTGGAAAAATAGTTACTCTAAAATATTTTATTTTTAAAAATAATTGTGTCCTTAATCTTTGTCTGTACCACAAAAGTTGAGCGTTATATGTCCCACCCATGAAATATTAAAATTCAGGTTTCCAGACTGCAGTGCCTTAGTATTTAACTACAACATGAGAAGTTTAACCACCCAAAATTCAGGATCAGGTTGCTCAACATTTCAGCTACTCAACCACAACACATATGGTAAGATTTTCCAGAGAGAAAACTGGGAGAATCTAAGTTAGGATCCCTCCTCTCTGTGCTGATTTATATGAGGAATGTACATATCTAACTTTGTGTGGATTTGGATAGTTTGAGTATCTTCTGAGGTGCAGAACAGAAAGCACATGTGACAGTCCATACTCAAAAAATCTCTAGTACAAAGGCTTGTTAAAACTTTCCACAGGGTTAAATCACAAAAGTTAAGGCTCAGTTTATACTTTTTCAAAAACTCTTGAGTCTCCTCTACATTTCAGGTCTACAATTATAAAATGACAAGAAGAATAGTTACATCTCTGGTATGTTGGGAAGATACACGTTATGACATAGCTGAGGCACTTGTCTAAGGATGGCCATAGAAGTCATTCGTGGATCTGGGCTGGCTGTACAGGATCTGCTTAGCTTGCTATGGTGATCTTGAGGTTACATCCTCTCCTTTGAGGAGGTGTGGACTTAGAGAAGTTTTTGGTAAAGTCTGGATAAATTACATGACTGATGTGGTATGTAGATACCACCTGCTGCCTGTTGAGAAGAATACTGTGTTCCTGGGCGCTGGGCACACCACCCAGCTCACGAGTGCGGGCACAACTGTGCTGCTGGTGTAGTGTACCACGGACAGTCACCTCCTCGGTGGCGACGGGGCACAGCTTGTGCAAGCGTCATGCACAGGCTTTGCGGCTCGGCCAGCCCGCTGTCCGCCGCTGTCCCGGCGCACATCCCGCCGCTGCTCGGGTGAGTGCCCGCCTGTCATGTGGCGGGCGCGTCACGGGGGGCGCGGTGCGGCCGCCGGGGCCGGAGGCGGTCTCGGTGTGCGCTCTGCCCCCTCCACACGCGTGGGTCTGCACGCCCGCCCCACGCCCGGGCACCGTGGCCTTTGGGGTCACTCCCCGCGTCGCACGGCGTGTGCGCCGGCCGTGGGCACCATGCAGTCCGCCTGCGTGCTGTGCCTCTCCCCGTTCGCCCTGTGCCTCCGCGTGTGTGTGTGCGGCCCCCGCCCCTGCGCGGCCCCCGCCGCGGCAGCGCCCTGCCCCTGGCTGGGGCGGGCCGGGCGCCCGGGGGGGCGGCGGGCGGGACCCCGCCAAACCGCGGGGCACCGACCGCCGCCCAACTCCCCGCAACGCCTGGCTCGGAGGAGGCGGCGCGGTGCTTCCCGCCGCGGCCCGGCCCCTTCTCCCCCGGGCGCCGCCCCTCTCCGCGCCGCCTGTGAGTCAGGGCTTTGCCGGGCACGGGCGGCAGCCGCGGCCGGAGCGGACGGGCAGCCTCCGCCGCGGGGCTCCATGGAGAAAGCGGCGGGCGAAGGCGGCGGCAGCAACAGCAGCAGCCGCAGCAGCAGCCGCCCCACGTCGGCGGGGTCGTCCCCCTCGTCCTCCTCCGCCAGCCGCGGGCTCCCGGGCCGGGCGGCGGCCGCGGGCAGGCTGGATGGAGGCGGGGGCGGCGGCAGTAGCCCCGGCTCGGCGGCGGCCAGCCCGGGGGGCGCGCAGGCGCCCGGCGGCGGCAGGCGGCGGGAGCCGGTGCTGGAAGGGACGCTCAGCAAATACACCAACCTCCTGCAGGGCTGGCAGAGCAGGTAAAGCGCCGGGCCGGCCCCCGGCGGCGCTGCGGGGCCGCGTCCTCGCCCCCGGCCGCCCCCAAGATGGTGCCCGGGCAACCGGCGCTGCCGCCCGAGCCGACCCCGACCCTCCCCTGGCAGCGGGTCCCGAGGCCGGGCTCCATCCTCCTCTGCGCCCGCTCTCCTTCCTTTTGTTTGACTTGTTTATTTTGCCAGCCGAGTTTGGCATAAGGGCGGGCGGGGAGGTGGCCCGGCGCAGGGTCGGCGCGGTGTCCCCTAGCGCGGCCGCCGCAGGTGCGGGCGGGGACAGGGGAGGGCTGAGGCTGCACATGCCGCTGTACCTGCATGACAGGGTTCCGTTTTTAAGCTCCTTTTTCGGTCACGTTAGTCACCGTTTCCTGTGAAGTTAGATTGGATAAGTTAAGAATGAAAACCTGAGAGCCTCCCAAAATAAATGGGGGAAAATGTCATGCTTGTGATTACTACTATCATTTTTTTCGCTATGAGGTGGGACAGTGGAAACAGTTACCTTTGTGTTCAATAAAATAACTTACGTTGCTATGTCCTACCTGTTTGACAAGCCCTAATTTATGCTGATAATGGTGACAGGCCCAGGTCCTGCAATTTGTTGGGTGTGGACAGGCTGACTTGCATCTGTGGAAGTCCCGAGGAAGGTCTGGTTTTGGTCTAGTAGTGCAAAATTTTTATGGACTTGGAGCCAGACTGTGGAGTTAATAGTGCTGTATTGGGATCTGCTAAAAGCAAAAGAGATTTCCTGCTTTACTTTTTGTTACTCACTTTTGTCCTCTTAGTGGATGGATGAAGATGTGTGTCCAAAACTCAACTTTTCAATATAAAGCAACACTGTGGTGATTTTAAAGAGAAGAAAATGCTATAGAAAGAACAAGTACAGGACTAGTTATAAAGCTCTGTACAGACCTTTAGAAAAACAAACAAAAAGACCAAAACCTTCTATTACTTATATTAGGTGATCACAACCAATAAGAACATGGGAATGGCTGGGAGCTTGATGTTCTGACAGTAAATTTAAAGCATTTATAAGTGACAGAGTTGCATAAATGCCAGTGATGCTCTGGTGCTGACTTGTGTGTGGCTAAATCAGTGCTAGGACTACTGTGGCAGTACTGCCTGAAGAATTTCAGGAGCTGGTCTAATTCCATACACTGGAGGCCATGCGTAGGTGTACCAGCTATAAATTACAGTGAACAAGTTTGGTATGAACTGGAGACACACTCATCTCCATTAAGCTTGACTGCATCAGCATAGACATAGAGAAGGCCCTTTGCTGTCATTTGGTTATCTGTGTTCTAGATACACATTGGACTTTCATCTATTTGTTGGTTTATTTAGTCCTCCTGTAGTTTTGTTTAAGAAGCAAACACATTTTGATACCTAAAATGTAGGGCTGAAATCCATGACTAAACATTAAAAGCCTCCTTCCTCTCCTTTTTTCCCCCTGATACCTCCATCTCTTTTTGTAGAGGCAGTAGCTCCTTTTACTGTGTGTGATTTTAAGGGTTGTAATCTGAAATTACAAAAGTAATTGCTTATAAATTCTTGGGTCTAATGCTGCTTGTTTTTTGTATTTGGAAACATTAAATTTGATAAGGCCAACAGCTGGAAATGGCATGCATAATCTGTACATGTCCAAGAAATTTTACCTGAAAACATCATGGGAAAAAGACAAATGTCACTTAAGCGGTTCTACGACAGCACTTGGAAATAAATGTTGGTTTAATTTCAGCAGTCTTTTTAAATACTGCTTTATTGTGCTTTGTCAATTGCTGGTTTTGTTTTCTGTAAGTCTGACTTTTTGAGCAAGTGGTTTATCATGAGACAGCTTTTAGGATAAGTAACTTTTTTAGTTTGTTCACTTTGTTCTGTTGATGCGTGTAGCTGTGGTTTGGGATGTGGAATCTGATACAAGTTCTAAACAGATCAGTTGAAACTTGAGGCTCACAGAAGTTAATCTTACTATATAATGTTCAATAAATGAGTAGTGATTCATGGGTTTGAGCTTGGTTGTCCATTTGGCCTTCTGGATATTTGTTTTGGAATGTGTTTACTTTGAATTGGAGCTCATTCTGTAACAGTCTGTAAGTGACTTTGTAGCTGGCACCTGCAGCGTATTTGTTAGCAGACAGATTAGTTTTGCATTTACTTCATTTGAAAAAACACAAGATTGTTTAACTGCATGATCAATACAACCAGATGGCATGAATATAAATAAAATGGAAAAATAAAGCAAAAACTGACAGAGTTCACTTACCACAGATTTGGAATGTTCTTCTTTAAAGCTCCTTATCCATTAGCCTAAATAATTTAAATGTAGTTAATGTGGCTCTTGCCATGTGGCATTGAAATTGAAAGGCTTTCCTAGGTTATCCACACTTAGTGTGCAGAGTAGCCTTTACAAGTCTGAAGCAATTACTGTAATTTGAATTATAATAAAGTAGTGTCACTTCTGAATAAATGTTTCTTTAGCAGGCATATACAAGATAGTTTGGTTTTGGATGAGGCAACTGAATATGATTACAGAAGCATAAAACTTCATTTATAGGTATTAATTGAAGTAATTGAAGGCCTCAAAATCAGTCAATCCAGATAGCTGCATTACTTCTTAGTTTGAGAATTTCCGAGGGTTTGTTGTTTGTTACTAAAGAAATCCATTTGTTCTTCTCTTGCAGATCAGGAACAACCTAATCTGGAAATGAGTGAGGTGATTCCTCACCTTTATGCCAAGCAGAAGGAAACTGCAGTTTTTTGTTCAGTTGTTTTGAGGCAGTTTGTTGTGTGAGAAAGGTGTCAAGGGGCCTGGGCATTTGGAGCATCTCCACTTAAGCCTGTAACTTTCTGTGAATTTATTTGGGTATGGATACAGAGAGTGGAGATCAATCTGAAACAGACTCTTTAACATAAGAACAGTTCTGTCTGGTGTGAGACATCAGGGCATCTGGCTGAATTGACTATGAAATTACAAGTAATTGTGTTCTCAATTGAAGTACTGTTATGAATAATTTCTATTGGGATTTACGTGTTATGTGTGTAGAGCTTGTACTTTAAGCAGGCGTTATGTGGATTTGACAGATCAATATGTCCCTGTAGTGTCATCTTACGTCATGCAAGACTTATTTTTCATTAATTAATTTGAAATTATTGAAATATTTACGCCCTGTGACGTTACTACCCTGTCTTTTGAGTAGACTGGCAAAATTTTAAAAATCTTAAAACCCCCATTTGTCCAAGGTAGTGGGAAATTCATGGTGTCTGTATCCCCCTCTCTGCTTTTTGCCTAATAACAGTTAGTACTTACACGTGTAGGGTTTTACCCTGCAAGTGTGTATAAAGTCCTGGTCATCTGCATTTGAGCTGGGACTTAAAATTAGGGTTTGTAACAAGAAATGGAACCCTGGCTGATGGATGTTGTTGCTTTTCTGAGCTGATCTGCTCTGTGTAAGTTTTTCTGTAGCCCAGGTGTTTTCTAAAGCATTATTTTGGCATTATTATATCCTGTTTCCTCTCTCAGTCGGGAAGTGTATTGTGTTACCAGCCTGCATGAGTCATGCCTGACTTAGGGTGCTTGGGCACCACCAGACTTCTTTAGGGGATTAGCTGCAATCCCTGTAGGTCAACAAAAAACGTACTTTGGGGCAGTCTGGGGATTTTTTGCACTCAGGATCTTTATCAGGCTCTCCAGTGCTGTGGTGTAATCTCTTTTCTTGTGTAGTTGCACAGAACACTTGCAGTCTGACTCCTGCACAGCAGAAAGACCTTTCTTATTACCAGTGCACCAAGCAGCAGGTAGGATACTGCCAGAAGAGCAGCCATCAGATTTTAGTGCCACTTTAGGGGCTGATTTCACTGTCTTCCAGAGCTTTCGCTGCTCTGTCTGCAGCTGTTACGGGTGGGTTTTCTGTGTATGCTGACAAAATATGTCAACACTGTATTGTGCTGTAGCACAAAAATCTGTGTGTAACTTTTCTATTAGTTTTTAAAAGAAGTTATATATATATTTTCTGGAGAAGCCTCTTAGAAGAATCGACAATGGTATCTTCAAACACAGTAATAACCTCCCTCTCCTTTCTGAATTAGCTAACTAGCATTTCACAGAATTTTGTGATTGACACATCTGCTTGTGGAGTTTTGGGGTAGTTAGCACCTCTAGTATTTGCCAGTTCTTCAATGGTACCAGTCAAATTGTTTGTACAATGAATTGGGGCATTTTTCCAGTATAAAAAATTAGTATATGGTTACTGAACACACTCCATGGCTATGGTTGTATGAGTGTACCTGTATAGCTGCTGACAGTGAAATCTGTCCTAGACAAATAAACTAGGGTTTTTTAGTATAAAAATAAGCCACACTCCTAATAAGCCATATTAGCCATTTTAAATAGCCTAACAGCAGACAGTATCTGAGAAGGAGAAAATAGCCACACACTTAATGTAATGTTTGTGAAGTTTGCTGAAATGGGATTTCTTTGTGTTCTTACTGGAATTAGATTAACACCAGCTCCTCCACTGCGTATTTTTTCATCTTAGTGTGATTCTGTGCCATGTCTATCCAGGGCTTTGTCTAGTGTTGTAATAACCTCCAGGATTTATTTGCAGAGTCTGTGAACAGGGAGACTCCCTTTTAAGGAGCTGGAGATACAATATATTCCGTTTTTCCTGTTGTTCTACATCTCCTCCTTGAATTTTGGAACCTTGCTTATAATTTGTTAGGAATTGTGGAAACCTTAAATTTCAAGGAGTTTTTATACTCTGGTGCTAACATTCTATTAAAGATTTTACTTGCAAATAGATTTTACTGGAGACTGTGTTGTCCCTTCACTTGTAGCCTCTCTTTGTAGTAGGAGGCAATGTGAAAAGGAAGAAATCTACTTAAACCCAACTTATTTTAGTTCTCTGGAGCAAATGATGTTCCCTGTGCTAAACTCTCAGTAGCTGCATATTTTACATTATTTAAACCAAGAGGCATGTCATTAGTCTTAAATA